TTTTTTTTTTTTTTTTTTTTTGATACTGGCGATCGAACTCTGGCCCTTGTGCTTACAAGGCAGGCGGCGGAACCACTGAGCTAAATCCCCGACCTGATCAGAGATTCATTTAATCCTAGTTCTATAGGTTTTGAAATCCAAACACATGGCACTATCATCTGCTTGGCCTTCTTGTGGCATCAACATGGAAGAGGACATCACATGGTGCCAGAAAGCCAATGTGGCTTTTCACAAGGCCCACGCTTGAGATAATCCATTAGTCCATTAAGGATGGCAGGACATTCTTGACCTAATCACCTTTTAAGAGTCCCACCTGGTACCACTCACTTCTTAATACTTTTTGATTTTTGCTTTTTAACTTCAAATCTGGACAATTTTGGGTCTTTCAATTTCTTGCATTTGGCATATATGGTAATGTTTTTACTACATACTGAGTGGTGTGTTGCAGGGTCTCTGTATTATGTTATTGTTCTCTGAGTTACATTTTAGCGGTAAATTTTTAGTGAATCACTCTGATTTTGTGGAAACTTCACGTTAGGCTTTGTCGGAGCCAATTGATCTAAGATTTGCCTGGAGTTCCAGGGCATAACTCTTGTTCTGGGGACCACGTCCTAATCTTTTTTGTGGCCTTTTTGGAGTTCCAGTGGAAACCCATAGTGCTTACCATTCCCCTCAAAAAAAAGTGGAGTTAAATCCTAAACTACTTCCCTCCAGAACTAAGCAGAAACTGAAATCTTTGTTCAATTTGTTTAGTTTTTCAGGTCTCATTTGCCAGTAAATTCTTTTCAGCTCAGGACTCATCCAAAGGTTAAGAGAATGTGCTTAGAAGAACTTTTCCTTTTGTGGTTGCCTCCACTCTTGGATTTCCTCCCTCAATTTCTAAATATTCTGTGAATCTAGGGCTTCTACTTCTAGTTTGTTAAACCAGTAAGACTGCTGATTTCTGTTTTTTATTCAGGATCAATGGGGCCTTTACAATAACTCTGTTCTGTTGATTGCTAGGGGTCTCTAAATCCTATTTTCCCACATTTATATCTTTCTTGTCTTTCTTTTTCACTTTCTTTTTCTTTTTCACTCCCTCACAACACTGAATACTGTTTACCATACTCCCTTCACAAGATCACTCTTTCTACCTTGTTATGGTTGTTACTTTTTATATCTTTGATATCCCTTAGTTTTGCCTCTTCTTACACTTCACCAATTTCTAGACTTTAGTCTGATTCTTCAATTCCTGCATTCACTGAATGGAAAAAGAACTGAAGAGCAAATACATACGAAAAGAAACCAATTCCTTTGAAGCTAGATTTGCTCTCCTGCTGCTTCATTTTGTTTTGTTTTGTTTTTTTCTTTCCTTTCTTTTTTTGGTACTGGGGATCAAACTCAAGCTAAGTATTCTAGGCACGATCCCCAGCATCTTTCCATCGCTTAGTAGGCAGTGTGAAGGAACAGTCTGAGAACCTGGTTTTCTACGTAGCTCTGCCATTCATTAGCACAAAACTTTGAACTATTTACTCATCTTTTCAGCTGCCTGTCTGTAAAATGAAAATATTTGAGGACTTGAAACTGACCATGACCTTTTCTTTGTATTTTACCAACCATGTTTGAAATCACAGAGAAACAAATTCTAGGCCACAGGAGTAAATGGCCATGCCAGGAGAAGGGACTGACCGGGCTGCATGGATTTTGCAGCTTTCATGTGCCAAGATTGAGGCATTATAAGACTTAGGGTGTAATAGGCCAGACATGGGCTGTAGTAGAGCTACAAGGAAGCCTGCTGGATGAGGAAGCTTGCTGTTTGTTTTTCTCCTCAGCATTGCAAGTCTCTCTACTGAGGGCTTCAAGCTTTTTCTTCCCTTTTGTCCCAGGTCATATTTCTCTACTTACCTTTCAAAATATCACATAGTTTTCATTTTTAACAGGTCCTGGTTATAAAACTGGGATCTCTTCTACATTACTATTTAAAACTTATTCAATAAAGTTTTAAGCTCTCTGATTTAAAAACCAAATGATTCGAATGTCTTTAACAAAATACAGGCAAGTAAAAACTTAGGTGAAGATTATTTTTATTTCCTTATGAAATGTGCTTCCCCTTTCCCTAGCCCTTGATGGAAAAAGGATTCTAGATGTTTATTTAACCAAAGAAAAGAGCATGATAGTCATTTCTAAAGATCAGTCTCTCTTCTGACCTCTTCTTTGTTGGAGTTTGAATAAAATTGTATTGTCTACATACTTCTTAAAATAAGCTCAGAACCTTGTCTTTCATTCTTAAAGCCTTAGGAGAATGAGAACCATTTTCATTCAATTATCCCCAGGGCAATAACTTGGAAAACTGCTTTGATGGGAGTAGAAACTTATAAACAATAAATTCAATAAATCCTTGTTACAATACCAATATGAAAACACAAGGATAATACACACATTTTAAAGTTGCCTCTTATTCTTAAAAAAAAAGTCCCTTTGAGCATTAGTTGTGGGATCTGATCCATGGTACATTTAATCCAATGACAAGAGATAAAGAATTTTACAATTGGGGCTTCATATAAAGAATGCTGCTTGATCATTCCTCATAAACAAGCAATCTGTTCTGCCCAGATAAGGACAAATGAAAAATTAATCAATGTAACTAAACAATTGCTTCATATAGACAGTTATACTGGGTGATTCAGAATCTAACCCTCTCCTCTACTTGGAGCTATTTTTCCACTTCAATAAAAAAAGGTTTTCTTGACCCTGATTCAACTTTGCCCTTGCTTTTGCCTTTAAAGACATTACTGTGAAGAATAATAATCTTCACTGTTTTTCTATAACTCAGGCTATTTTCTAATTTCTCATCCAAAAATGAGTATTATATATAAAACTATGATCCATATTACCCCAAATCTAGTACACTTTATACAATTTGATGTCCATTTTCAATTTATTGTTTTGTTTTTGCAAAATGTAAAGGCCATGGGTCATAAAACTAAGAAGGAAGGTACTCTGTACATTTGTTCATAGTAATTTTGTCCCATTCTCTTCCTTGCCTGCTCTTTTTCTTGTTCAAAGCAAAATGTGTTATGATGATAACAAAGCAAATGATTCCTATCATAGTCACTGATGTTAAAACTCCTTTCCATATAAGACGATCTCTGCCAGGTGCAGAAGCAGAGTATGGAAGACTAGACAGAGTCACCTGGGCAATGTTAGATACAGCAGACTTCAAAGAGTTCCTATCCATTGCTCTAATGGCCACATACATTCTGTGGTTTTCTTGTGTTCCTCTTTCAGGTTGATGTTCAAATCCGTTTGTAAAAATTCTGGGTGAGAATGTAAATATCTCTCTGGTACCAGCCTGCTGAGGGTATAGCTTTGATGTATTCACCAAAATGGCATTGTTAAAGTCATCTCGAATATTCTGTAGGCTTTTACTTATTCTTATTTCATAACTTGTAGCTGAAATTAAAGACATAAATGAGAAGGTTAAGTCACCTGAACTAAGTTTTATAGTTTATTAGTAATAACTAATGAGAATAGCAGTAAAAAGACTAAAATATCTGGGAATAAACATAACAAGAGAAAAAAATAGGAGTTAAACTTTAAAACACTACATAGTCATTCAAAAAGCTGAGCAAAATGATTTATGCTTTTTCAAATTAAGATACAACATAATAATGTTTTTATTATTATGATGTAAATGTTATTTGATATTTATTAAAAATGCCTTCAATTCTTGTTTTAACTAGTGAAGCTTTTTGTAAAATTTATATGGAAAGTAAATAATAAAAATAGCCATGTAAAGTCTAAAATATAGCTTTTCAAAAAAACTAATCCTACCAGATATAAAAATAGTATAATGCCTCAATAACTAAAATACTATGAACTAGCACATGAATGGGCTTATATTCAAAATTAGACCAAATTCAGAAATTTAGTATAAAATAGAAGTGGAATTCAAATTAATAGGAGGAAGTAAAAATTTCTTAATAAAAGGTATTGTGATAATTGAGTAAAAATCTGGAAAAAATTATGTATATGGAAGTTCAAATATTAGCACAGGCCTTAAAGAAGGAAAAGTAGGAGTAGGATCCTACCAGTGTCCACCTGAGAAAGGGCCAGAAAGTCCTGGACCAGGCAACTCCTCTCAGCCTTTACCACAAAAATGATGGCTACAGCAGGAGAGGAGAGGGGACCAAGGTTTTTATTAGGGAAACAGTTCTCTAAACATGACTTGTAAATATATGAATAAATATTTGCTGATCAATTTTCAGAAAAGTGGTCCCTTTAAGTATTTGGAAACATAGATTCCATGATAACAGACTTCATTTCCGCTGAACAGACCACCAAACCGTATGGTGTACACATCTCCAATCAAGGTGTCTGTGTTGACTGTAGAGTTTACCCTGTCCTCTCTACTCCTGGGGCAGTCGGTTACCCTCATTCCTGGGCTCCAGGATTTAAGCGTTGGAGCTTTTTATGACAGCCCTCTGAGGCTTTTTCAGTTCTAAATCCAGAAGTTATTTTCACCCCACTAACTCCTGACATGGCTTTTAGAAATATTGTCTTGTGGAAAATTAGATAATGAAGCCAGCAAACCTACCCTGACCCTGATCAAAGTCTTCTCCAGGTGCTGTCCAAGATAGAGTCACTTCCTCTTCCATCTTAACAGCTTCCAGGTCAACAACTTTGCATGGTGGGAAGAGGTCAGGATGGGAACCGTCTGGGACTCCTTGCACTGAAAAGGAGCCCCCTGAGCTTACTCTGCTAAAGCCCCACTGTTGCTCTGCCTCACTTCTATGTGCTGATTTCCTTGGAGCATTCATCTGAATGTTACCTGGGCCCAAAAGAAAGACATAGGCAAGCAACAAATCACAAGTCTCCCGAATATCTTGTTCCTAACAGATTATCAAGAGACTTTTGAAAACCATTTTTTAAAAAATAATTACTTGTTTAGAAACCTGAGTTTATTTAATAATTCATCCACTCATTCATTCATCTATCATTCATTCTGTAATTACTTACTGAGTGCATATGCTATGCCAGTAATTACAGATAAAAGACAATTTCTCATGGGATTAATTGTATTAGTAATATACATTGACAAATTGTGGTATTTTGAATGAAAATAGCTCAAATACATAACTTAGAGTGATATCCCATTTAAAGATTTCCTAAAGGTTAAAAAATCAGCCAGGTAAACAGTGGAAGGAAGAATGCCTTAGGTAATGGGAACAGTTTGTGCAAAAACTCTGAGGTGGGGAAGAGATTTTTTGTTTGTTTTTAGTTTTTATTAGTACATGTTTGAAATACATAATGATTACATTCTTTATGGTAGCTGCTACATCTTAATTCTCTTTATACCCCTCTCCCTTGGTCCCCTGCCTTTTTGCAAAAGATCTATCTGTATCTCCCTGTTTCTACTGCAATATTTAAGCTTGTGTACCTGATTTGTGTTCTGAGTGCTTAACTAGGATGCCTGAGGCCCTAGGTTTCATTCTCAGTAAAAACAAAACAAAAGAGAAAGAAGGAAAAAGACAGAGATAAAGGAAGGAAGGAAGGAAGAGAAAGAGAGAGAGAGAGAGAGAGAGAAAGAAAGAAAGAAAGAAAGAAAGAAAGAAAGAAAGAAAGAAAAAACAAGGAGGAAAAAAGGAAGTTGGTTCAAAGGAGAGTGGAGGGGTGAAGAGGGGAAGGGAGGGGAGGAGAGAGGAAAGGAGACTAGATGAGACAGGAGGCAGAAGTTCATGAAGGACCACAACAAGCAAGGGGGCCTCTTAGAGAGCCACCCAATGGTCCAGACGAGAAAAGAAAGCAGTTTGGAACAGGGGGTAGCAGTGAGAGGTGGAGATACATTATGGAGAAAAAGTCAGCAAAAGTTGGTGATGGCTTTGGATATGGAAGATATAGGCATTTAGATACTATTGAAGCCACGTAGATTAATGAGATTACCTAATAGTACTTTAAATTATAATGATAAATAGTATTTACTGAGTGACTATATGCCAGGCATTAAAAAAAAAACAAAAACTTGTATATATCAAATATTTCACTTTGTCAGCAAAGCTACTTCTAGGGTACAGTTTTACCTCCATTTTTATAGATGATGAAACTGAGACACAGAAGCCAAGCGACTTGATCAAAGTCACACAGGTCTATTTCAGGTATTTTGGCTCCAGCCAGTGGAATGGGAAGATTAAGAGTGAGCTCTGAGAATTTCCCACATTTAGAGCCCTGGTATGAAAGAAGGAGTTGGAAAAAGAGGCTGACGGAATATTCCAGAGAATAAGAGATAACCAGGAGACTATGGTGTCATAGAAACAAGGAAAGAGCAGTCTGTAATACAGCAGAGGTCAGGACAAATGAGGACTGAAGTGTTTCCTTTGGATTTATTGGCAGGGTGGCCATTGGGTTGGGGCCTGAGAAATTCCAATGGAACAATTTGGGTGGAAGTCAGATTGCAATGAGCAGAATAGTAAATAGGAGGTGAGAAAGTACAGTTGCCAGGTTTTGGTTCATTCCAGGGGAATATGACAGAAATAGGAAGGTGACTAATTTTTAAATGGGTGAATGCTCAAATGCTGCTCAGAGAGGACAGTAAGAGGGAAGGCAGAGGGATGCAGAGCTCATCCAGCAGGGACAGTGGCCTCGGGGGAGAAGAGGAAGGTGCAGATGCTGCTCTGCCTGGAGATTTGGTGGTATGAACATAGAGTAGCTCCCATTTTTCAGAGAAGTGTGAACTCGAGGTCATCACCTGACAACGGGCTAATAAAGTGAATGCTACGAACAGGAGGTGTCACAGGAGCCCTGGCTTTTTCTTTTCTGTGCTATAAGGGCCTATATGAAATACGGAAATAAAACCACAGCTGCACATCTTAAGTCTCACTACACACCAGGTACTGATATTTGCATCCTTTAAAGCTATGGGTTTTGGAAAGGTTCTCAGTTGAGTCAGCAGCTTGCAAGCTCCTTGATGAAAATCAGGTCTTCTACTTGGCGTGCCAAGTTCCTGACCTGTCACCTAGAAGGCCTTCAAAAACGTTATGAATAAGCAAAAAACAGGAGGGTCCGGGGATTTAGCTCAGTGGTTCCGCCTCCTGCCTCGCAAGCTCTAGGTCCTGAGTTAAAACAAAAACAAAAACAAAAACAGGATACCTGTTTGGAAACAAAGTATTTTATCGGGATATAATATCATATCTGTGCAATAAACTCATGTTACCTTGCAAAATGATTTACCTTGGTTTTTAAGCAATCCAAATTATTGTAAATATAAATGAGAGTGAGTTATCTACTAGATAATACAAAAAACACCAAGAAATGCAAATCCACTGTAGCTTCTACTGAGAAGTATGAATAGAACAGAAAAATACAAAAATCACGTTTGCCAATAGTCAAGATGACGGGCTGTAACTGCTGAAATAATGGGTAAGGCTCATCACCATTAAAACATGTAGAAATGTTTTTCAAGACTGTTTTTGGAGAGACTGCAGCATGATACATTGTCTGTGATATTCTAACTATTACTCTCTATGAGGAACTAAAATAACAATGTTTAAAAATTAAAGATGTGTATCTCCTATTCATCTGGATTTATTTATTTATTTATTCATCTTGAAGGGAAACAACCTCTTCAGGACTCACAGTTGTGTGTAACATCCAAACTCATTTTTATTCAGGAACTCACTTCCTGTGTAGATTATTTGAGCCAGCAGCTTCCTTCTTTCAACTGCTGACAAAGTTTTGCTTCTTTCTCTTGCCTAAACCTCTATGGAGAAAATATAGAAGCTGGAACTTAGATGTATGGTACTAATTCTGTTGAAACAGTCACAAGAAAAAAGGTCAAAATAATTACTAAAATGAAGGTAGGAATTATCTAAAGAAATTACCTATTTTTTGTTATAAATGAGGATTGGCAAGGTGGTCAATGAATTAGAGATTAACTTATGTACAGTTTTGAAATTCCATGTCCATTTTATCTTCTCCCTCCCCCCTACACACACACCAGAGACATATACATGAAACAATAACGCAAGTTAACAGTGCTGATGATTCTTACCATTCACTATGTAACCTGGTACATACAGAGCATGACTTCCTGCGATAGAGTGGGCTAGGGCGCTTATGCTGGGAGAGTGACTGACGTGCACTTTCAAGCTATATCTACCATTTACAGCGAAGGAGAAAAAATACCTCGAGTAAATTCCATCATTTTTAATGACATCAGCACCTGTACATGTAGACAAAAAGTCAGTGTCAACACTTGTCATAGTTGATTGCTAATATTTTAAAAGCTATTAAAATGATGTTCCCCCCTGGCAATCTTTCCACTTTGGTGTATGTTACCATGGGTATAACCGGTGACTTAAAATTCAATAGCTCCACAGTTTCCTCCTGTGATTCTTTAACCTCTAAAACATATTCTCTAAGGGTGAATGTGATGTAATAAAACACTTAAAATAGTTTTCATTGTTTCTTTGACTAGGTTATAAATTTAGTTAGCAAACAAATGAATTTTTCCAGGGAATAAATATATGAGTTTATTGAGTTCAGTCAGGTGATTTTTCCCTAAGACAGCATGATCTGCTTTCTAGGCCAGCTCACAGGCTGAAGCAAGAAACATTCTGCAAAGTAGATTTTTGAACCATTAAAAAAAAAAAAAAAAAAGGGAAGGG